ATTTCTGTGTCACTGCTGTGTCTTGTTTTTTTGTTTTTTTTTTTTTTTTTTTTTTGGGGGGGCACTATCACAATCTGTTTTTTTTTTTTTCATATAATGTCAGTTGTAGCACCTGCTCTCAGGTATACTGGGTTTTCTTTGAAGGGCAAAACAACTTCATCTAGACCACTGTGATGTAGTTAAGTTTGCAAATGCACAGTACAAAGAACAGTGTTCTGAGGGAAAGTCAGGATTATTTTGGGAGATGGCAGACATGAGTTTTTGAAGACACTTGCACATGCATACAAATCAGTACTGAAATGCTCTGTCAACTTGATCTATTTCTTTGTAATTTACAGATCCAGGGTGGCATTGGCAGCAGACTACATGAACAGATTTTGTAAATGTCAGTATGGTTGTGCTGTATGATCCAGTCATGTTTTATGGTTAGAATTATTACACAATTTTAGTGTTGTTGGGGGGAAATAATTCTTCTGGTTTGTTAAGGCTAGTTTTCCTCAAGAAGCTGTGAGCATGGAGTTGGGAAGGCACACACACCCCGAGAGAAAAGCATGGGGGAAGAGAACGGTGATTAAAAATATTCAGTGATACTTCTGGAAATATATTTCTGCCAAGGAAAAGGGACACACCTAGAGCATTCTGATTATGAATCAGTAGTAAGGCACAGTAGGTTTGATAATTAAGACAGTTAGGTTTGATTCACATTAAAACGTTTGAGAATTAGTTTGTACTTCTTTTATACAAATTAATTTTATGCCTGCAAGTAGTTTTTAATCTCATCCGTAGAAAAATCAGGAATATTTACAAAGGAAGTAGGTGCAGATTTCTTAGCTCAGCAGTAGAATGTGAGTTCTACTTTATGCAAGGATTAAACTGGATACTGAATCACACACTACTGATGGGGAGAAAAAAGGCATTGCATGAAACACTTGTGGCTCATGCTGCCATACATTTTGTTCTGGAAAAAAAAAATTTGTTCAACTGTTTAATTGAAGCATATGCTGGTCATCTGAAATGTGCTTTTTGTTGGATGAAAGTGATTACATCAAACAGTGGTGCTTTTAATTCATTCTGTTGTGTCTCAGTACACTCAGTGCTGCCATATGACTGAGTAATTTTATTTATATATATATATATATAAAAAAATGTCTGTCCTGCTTCAGTGAGTGTTCCTGCATGTTGCTGTTACATCACTCAGAGGTGAAGGAAAACAAATTCAGAGGAGTTTCTGTTTAGAGTGCTGAAAATACCAGGTTTTACTTCTTTATACCATGATTCAGGAAGGGAGTCTTCCAGCTGGAAAGATGGGAAATGTCAGTGACTGATTTTTTATAAAGTTTGGGGCTGTATTTGTAATTGGAAGTATGCTTGGAACAGGGCTAGTGCAGGGGCCTGGAAAACAGCCTCATTTGAAGTCCAGTTACTTGTGGCCATGCTGTCAGCGTTTCTGCTCTCAACTGTGTACAGCTGGAGCTGAGTAGGATACAGTGGCCAGAGGCCAGGCCACTGTACAGAACAGCTGCCTCTGACCACTGGTGCTTCTGTGGCATCAGCTGCTCTGCCACTCTTCCAGCTGACAGAGCTGCAAGGAGATTTTATCATCGGCTAATTAAATAGTTGTGTTATGCCTGAGCTGTAGTCATTGCATACATGCCAAAGCACAGTTGCTGTTTTGCAGTGCAGAGCTGTTGTCTTCGTTGTGCATGTATTTTTGAAGTTTTAGAAGAAAAAGTGGATATCCTGGATGGGGCATTGCAGTGACACTTTTTGTCCAACGTAAGAGAACAATTGGAAGTGGTCAGAATACAGAATCAATTAGGTTGGAAAAGACCTCTGAGATCATCAAGTCACACCTATGACCTAGGTCATTAAATTGGGAATTCTTTTTTCTTTACCTTGGTCAGACCAAATTACTGATCCCACTGCATCTGAGTGATACCTAAAGCTGGTTAGGGACTATGCTTTCAGAATCCCACCAATATGAAGATAATCCAAATAAAAGGCATCTATTTGAAAACAAGCTTTCAGTGAATCACAGAACAAGACAACTTCTTTATATTCCTGTTCCTCTGATATGGGTAATGCACATCCACTTTGTCATTGCATCACCTTTCTCAACCTAGCTGGAGCTTGGGGAAGAATACAGAAATCTGTAACAATACACACAAGTAGAGACTTAAACTCTGTGCTCCCTATTGCCAACTTGATTAACTTCACTGAAATATGAAGGTAATATTTTTAGCCATTCAAATCAGTACTTCATAATTTCTTCAAGCAGTATTTTTTTTATTTATAGAATAACTACTGTATCTATATCTGCTTTGAAATTCATAAAGGTGAGTAAGGTAAGTGGTGTATTGAGTGGCACCTATTCCCTAACTACTTCTGCAGTGTAGGTTTCTAAATGTTCCAAGTTTTAACCTAGTGCTACTTCTTGGAAGTTTGGAAACTGTTATAAGTGTAATTAAACTACATGCCATTAATTATATATAAATTTAATACAAGTGGACCCTAGCAACTATGAGAAATAAGTAACCATCCTGACTTTTCTTTTAACTGCTGAAAACCTTACTCCTGTTTCTGCTGTAGATTGGCTTTGTAGCTTTTCTCTAGTGTTTACCAAGTCACTGTTAAAAGGTAAGACACACAGTGGCAAACACCATTTTAAAACTCCATGTGTGATCAAGCAATATTTGTTTCACAACCTTTGTTACCCCTTTTCATGAGAAAGGAACTGCAGTGCTTTTGTTGCAAAATAAAACACACTTGTCAGACCTATGTTCAATTAGAAAGTCTCGCTAATGCAACTGTATTGTATAACACAGTTAAAATTTCACATCACATACTTTTGATTAGTAAGCAGTAAGAGTTGTTAAAGTCAGATGGGAATCTGAACTATATCATTGGGCTGGGATCTTAAATGCTCTTAAAACTACAGTTAAAGCTACCTGGCTGCGGCTCAGCTTGTACAATATGTTTGAATTAAGGTAGTCAGACTCCTGTTAAAAGTTTGAAAACTCACATTTTAATTGAAATTTAGATTAAAAATAAGGCATTAGTTACATCATTCATGCTAACAAATGTACATAGTGGTGACTCAAGAACAAAAAAATAGTACCACAAATAAACCATGGCTCAAAAACTACTCTAGCTGGATTGGTGCAGCCACACTTCCTATACAGAGGAGCTGTGGTGTCTGTGTTGCTGCCGTGCTCTGCTTTTGTTGAACTCTGTCCTTTCCTTGAGGTAGGCACCAGTGCCCATGGCTTTCAAGGAAGGCCTGAATTCCTTTCCATTTACCACTAGGACATAGGAAACTCTGATGGGGGGGTAACAAAGCAAAATGGAAATGATTTAGCTGAAAAAAAAAATCTCAGAATCCAGAGAACTTTATTAAGTAAAATAGATACAAAGGTGATATAGGCAACCTAGAAACGAGCTCAGTAGCAATGTTTTTTTGCAGTGCTGCATTACAAATAAAGCACATCAAGAAACCTTGCTGAGCCTTTTCAGCTTGTAGAGTGTGGCCAGAGGTGGACACAACTTCACATTGGAAGTGTTTGTATTACATAGATCTGAGTAATTCAAATCAATCTAGAAGATATTTTTGTTAACTCTTCAAGCCACTTTTACTACTGTTGTATTAATCTTCAGCATCAGTGATTCTATTGCATTACTTTATATCCACACCACCAAATTCCGGCCACTTCTTCCCTGGGATGTCCCTTTTCAAATCACTTGTTTAAAAGCAAAAACTAAAGTTAAAAAAACAAAAAAGCCCACCACAAAATCTATTCCTGGTATTGCACATCTCACACAAGTTTGTATATATATATATATATGTGTGGTGTGTGTGTGTGTGTGTATCTGCACACATATATATATACACACATATATATATTTATATTTAAATATGCTACAGTTAAAGAGGTCTATGGCACTTTATTGAATACAAGTTTAAGAAGTTGATGAAACCACAGATGTTTGAAGAATTCTTCAATACCACAAAAACAAAGTTAAACTGAATTAACTGGCACACAGGTTTGAAAGAATCCACAGCAAATTTTTCTAGATCTATGCAGTGCATGTACATTAAGAAGCAGTTACACTCTGCAGCCCACTCATGAAATCAGTTAAATTAGCTTTAAGCTGATTTTTCTTTTTTTTTTTTCTCCCAAAGTTGCTGCTGAGGTGAACTTCAGGAGCAATTTAAACAGCCGTGAAATTTACTGAGTGCATCCTCCTGCACATGAAAACCTCATCCAGGAAAAAAAAATCTGCAGTATATACCATCTTATCACTTGCTAGAAAAACAGAACCCTGAGAAAAGAAATTCTGATTATATTTATTCTGTATTTCTTCCCAGCCTGTCTTCTATCTGTGCAATGTGATGAACGTGGGTATTCTTGCAAGTTAGTTGATTATGCTGTTGCAGAGCAAGCTGATAATATACCAGCAACAAGCAGAAAAGCTGGTTCTTCTTGGTTACAAATGCAAACAAAAGCAAAATATGCCACTGAAAATATCTCCTTCGTACTTAAAAAAAACCCAAAAATGCACTATTGAAATTTTTTTAAGCATTGTGTAGATCACAGCAGAGGTCAGCTAGTTATGTAAGTGAAGATTGCTCATTGTTTGCGTCTCAGCCAGAGCAGTGTATGCCCTCTATACCTTTGGAAGAACTGACTTGATTCTGACTAATCAAGTGCTCAAGCCAAAGCAGCATTTCTCACCCTAATATAGTGTCAAGATTTGTTGGCAGTGATGACCTGGACATTGGATTGCCACCCACCCAGGAAATCTAAAAACAGTAAATCTACTTATTCATTAATTTTAACTGAGCTATATGCTACTCGTACAACTGCTAGCCCCCCATTTCCCAACAGCAGAGCTTAGCTGGCAGCCAGGCTCCAGCACACGCTCCAGTGGGGGCTCAGGAGGGATGCCTGGAGGATGCCTCACTGGACCCCGGGGACAAGCCCAGTGCATGCCATTCAGGTGTGGGGGGGGGAGTGTTTATGAGGCAAAACCAAGGAGACAAACACAGCTGTGGACAGAGTGTGCAGGCTGTGATTTTCATCCTCGGGCACTGCTTTGTGCTGGTAATTTTGCTTTGTTAAAATCGTGCTTTGTGCAGGCAGTTGGCAGAAATGGTCCCAGACCATAACTTTTGAGGGAGGGTGTGTTTAAAATAAATATTTAAAAGAGAAGTGAATTACCCGTTTTTAACTAGAAGATGGTGGATGTGGGTTGCAGGAGCAGGTGAATGCAGGAAGAGGCTAGATTAAAACAGTCCCTTTCTGCAGATAGGCAAAAGTTGACCTTATTCATTGCACTGTGTCTCAGAAGTCACCTCTGTATCCATCCAGCACATGGTCTGAAGGAGCACTAGGCACAGACAGGCACAAGATGGGAGCTTATCTGTGTGTGTGCCACAGTGTCCATAGGGCATGGCAGGTGCTGGAAGAGGGCCCCAACTCTGCGGCTGTTCGCCCCTTCCTTGAGGCTGGCCCTGGGCATGTGGTCAGGGCTGCTGAGCAGCTCTCGTATTGCAAAGGACTTGAGCAGTGTCTTGTACAGGCTATCTACCTGTACGATAGCAATGATTTTTTAATACCTATAAATACCTAATGGCACGCTTTAAGGGGCTGACCACACATCAACAAGAATCTCTGCTCCATATTACACAGTGAAGCAACACTGTCATTTGGATGATGTTAGACTACCTAGAAGTAAGAAGAGGAATCTAAAATTCACCTAGTATTTCATTAGAACTATTTCTCAGATGAATTATCCCCAATGCTCCTATGGCACAGCTACTTTTTTTTTTTTTTAAATACCTTTCAAACTTGTTTTCCAAAGTAGTTCCAGTAAGTGAGGCAACATCACAAGTAACACAACCAACTGCCTTTGAGAAAGGAATGTCATTTGTGCAAGGTCTGTTTAATTTCTGCTGGTTTAATTGGAAAAAGGTCCATACCACACACAGTTAAAAAAAAAATAAAAAGACAAAATCTTCCCAGCCATGTAGAATTTGGCCAGACTTCCTGAAAAATTTTGATTTCCCAAAGACTAATGTGCCTCTGGGTCATGAGACAGACTGATCTGTAGACTGTGAATGAGGTTTCATTGATGACAGAAAAAGAAATACTGCTGAAGTAAAACATGAGATCCACAGCTGTAGGAGAGGCTGTAGCCCAGGTCAGGCTGGTGCCATGGGGAGTTGTCATCTGCTTGGGAGTTCAGAAGTTTTAATAAAGGCTGTAGGAATACTTCAATTTTATCTGAATCAGGTGAGAGGTGAGAGCCAGTGCAACAACAACTTTTCTGTCTAGTCAGTGGAAACAAAATAATTTACCTGCTAAGTAACAAGTGGCACACACCTTGCACTCTTAAGTTTCAAGACAGAGAAACCTGGCAGGGACTTAACTTTCTAAATGCTTAAGGATTGGTGTGAACTGCATCAAGTCAGCTTTGCTCTCTCCAGCATAGACTTGCTATCCAAGAAGGCACTGTACTTTCAGGAAGTTCAGTATCAAAAAGCACCTCAATGAAAAGTATGGTACCAAATCAGGTGGTGGTGAAGAAATATTCACCAGTGAGGGGAGCCCTTGGAAACAAAACCTCAGTAAAATAGGCTTCTTTTTTGCGTAAGAAAAGGAAAAAATGTGCTATCTTTTGTTATTTTAAACCCAAATTCTCCAAAGTGACCAGGGTGGGTTAGGCAATCCAATCGATCAGAATTTGTCAGTTATAACAACATTCCTGCTATATACAGGTGTTTACTCACATCCCCAGTCAGATCAATATATTCCACTGTGTCCACAGAATGAAACTAAAAATATCCCCAAGTATTTACATTCTGCTTTCTTGGGATCCTTTCTCTGATCCCTATTGCCCAGCAAGGAAGAAAGCCCCCTTTCAGTAGTTCGGGGCTGGAATGCATGGGGCTCAATCACACAAATGGTAAAAACAGGTAAGTGGATCTGCTTGTCCAGTCAATGGAAAGCAGATAAAGATCCAGACGCTGGTATTTTTCCCCACTGTAGTTAAAGGAGGCAGATAAGGTTTTTTCCTTCTTCTATTTCTTCTTGCACTTTGTCACTGGACGTGGCTATTTCAGCTTGCGCCGAGAAGACTGCACAGATGAACGTCAGAACAGTGCCACCGATGGCTGTGTAGAAAGCCCAGCCCAAGGAGCAGTCTCCTAGTTTGTAAGCAGAAGCATAAGGTCCACAATAGCTTATTGCCTTCTGGCATCCCCAACCTGCAGGGTAAAGTATCAAGCCTAAGATAAGGAAGAGCCCTATAAATAAAAACAGAAAGAAGTTTAACAAACAGTCAGTATAACACCAAATGCAGCACATGTAGTAATGGTCACTACCCATTCCTAAGTACCAGGATTAGAAGAAAACTGCTCCTCCTTTACTGATTGTTCCCTGCCATATGCCATGCAGCCTTTTAACTGAATTTGGAGTTACCCTGTGGTTTACCTTGTGAAAGGCTTATTTTATATGATAATGGCCTAGTACCACTAACTAGTTCCTAGTTCACTTTTCTAGTGATGCAGGAGCAAAAGCCTCAACTCCCCATCTTACTGAACTGCCTGAACACCCTGCTGCACCTCAGTTTGGAACTGAGAAGCTCAGACTAGATGTTTTACTAATCTGATTGTCTCTCCTGTTCACAGTTTTCTCTGTGAGGACCAGTCTCTAAGCAGTGAAGGACTTAATTAAAGAAATTACAAGTCACCTTAGTGTCCCTGCACACATACTGTGTGATAGGAGATTTAATCAAAATGCCTAATATGGCTAAAGTGCTCTCTTAGGGGCCTGCTAAAAAAAAAGTCACAGTGAATTAAACACACATCTCCCTTGTACAAGGTATGTAGGAAGGAGCTAAACATCAGGACAACTCACAGCTATCAAAATTTGGTTTCTGTTTTCCTTGAAATTTTACTTAGGAGAACAGGAAGAATTCAAAGAACCAGTTTTTGCTTAAACACAACCAGTTTATCCAGAAAATTAATACAGCCTTTCAGATCCCAAAAATATTTCTGATTAACTTGTCCCACACTGTAAAACCCTTTATTCAAACAGGCATCTCGACGAAAATAGCTGCTAAAAGTGCTGCCACCTTCTAGAAGTGGGCAGAAAGTTATGCGCTATACTAAGAGATTACCAAGAACAGCTCTGAAGACTTGTTCACACCTTCTTCCATTCAGTTAGGTTTTCTGCAGTACATTATGTTTCCTTAATTTTTTGTTCAAAGAAATTCAGCCAGATGCAAGAAATCTTCCTTACTGAGAACAAAAAGGTGGGTCCTAGCTAGTAAGCAGTTAATTTATGCAAACCACAAAAAACATCATCCAACTGTCTAAAATCAATGTCTATGAATGCCAGACATTTCACAAAAGAAATTCCTTCCTCCAGCATTTTTCTAATGATGACATAACACCATGGACATGAATGACCTAAATTCTTTGGGGCAGCAAAATCCATTAGTGAGTGGTATCCATTCTCTGTGAAGGGATTTTATCACTGCCTACATTTAAGAACTAATTACAACTTTTATGCAGTGTTTCCTAGCTGGTTGGCCAAACTACATTAAATATAAAGTATTGCTTTATCTTGGACAGACCTGCATAAGCTGTGCGTTCATCCTGCTGAGCCCTGCAGCCATTTCAGACTAAACACCAGCAGTTCCTTCTTCTGTGTTTGTTACTATTTCCTGTTCTGCGCAACCAGCACGACCACATTATGTATCTTTCTGACTGTACATTGGTTTGGGCCAGTTGTCATTTTCTCTAAAGATCACAAGCCCTTTGGTAGGCAAAAAACCAACATCACTGAATTAAGAAGCTGGATCTGAAACGCCAATGCAGCTGCTGCCAACAAGGAAGTTTTTCAAGTTTACCTCTCCATCATTCACAAACCTAGAGCCCATGTTTAACAGCAAACCTGCCTTAGGGCTGAGTCAGAAACAGGACCAAGAAGACATATTTCTTTTTACCAAACTAGAGCACTGAGCAACTCCTGAAAGCTACTGATTCATGGTATGTATGCTTCAAGCTGAAAAGCCATTACCCAAAACTCAGCCCCTCAGAACGCTGCAGCAGCTCTGCCAAAATGTAGCCATCAGGACTTTACTGACTTGGAACTTTTTTTAAGAAAGTACAGAAAATTCCTGGAGAAATACTGACTACAGCCCATAATTTCACAGAATCACAGAATCATTTAGTTTGGAAAAGACCTCTGAGATCACTGAGTCCAACCTTTGAACAAATACTGCCTACTAGACCATGGCACTACATGCCATGTCAAGTCCTTTCTTAAACACCCAGCATGATAATAATAATTAAAAAAAAGTAATATTTTCACTACCAAACCTCCTTTCTACAAGTCCCATTTCAGGGCAGACAGAAAGCTTCTCATTTGCCTCTTAGCACTATCACTAGTATTTATCAATTTTTATTTAGTTAATAACTAGTTTCCTCCTGCTTGCCAGGAAAAGCGAACAAAGATTATTCCATTAAGCCAATTCAACATACACACAACAGCAATGCACTCTGATTTCATGGTAACAGCAAGTGGAGAGGCACAGGCTTCTCATAACATGCTCAAATACTCAAAGCAATGGCTGAGCTGTGCAGGGTCCCTTCCTGACTCTCCCAACCTGCCCAAAAAGTAGTGCTCGATTAAAGAGAAGCTTTTTCTCTTGCTTCACAGTAACTACAGAAGAGACAGTCACAGGCTGCAGAGCTCATCTTAATGACTCCTGCAGTGTGAACAAAACAGACAGATGATGCTTTACCACCCACCAGCAGAGCAAACCATTGCTTACATTAGAAGCCAGTAAATCAAAGCATTTAACTGTTCAACTACCTGCAATCAGAAATGCCTGAAAAAGAACCACCTCTCTGTTCCTGGGAACATGGATGCGAAGGAAAAAATTGCATGTGGAAAGAACAAAGTAAGATATAGCAGGGGCAGGAGAGATTGTGATGCTACTTGGAAAGTCTTGTTCTGCTTTTAAATAGGTGCAATGGTTAAATGCAATGGGAATAGCTCATCAGTCTCTGTGCACTTCCACCCCTAAGGAGCACTGCACAACCATTTCATGCAACACAAAAAAGCCAGAGGGCTGCTTCTACAGATAACACTGTAGCCTTGATCTAGATCAAACACATGTACAAACAGCTGCTAAGCTGAGCAAAAACCACTTAGAGGTCAGTCAGTGGTGAGATGATCCACAAGGGGAAAAAACACTGTAAATTCTCAGTGCTGATTACTCATACCACTGTCCATGGGGCAGAGCCTGACCAGGCCCGTTACATCTCATTGCTTCCTTGACAGAAGTTTAGGCCTAACTGCCTAAACCCCTGCCTTTCTGTAGCTGCTGTTTAGTCCCTGGGACTCTCCTGCATGCAGCTCTCTTGCTTTGGTTATTTATTTGCATTACCACACAACCTGGGATCTGTGCTCGCAGTTTCTGCCTCCAGTACCTGACAATCTGCTTTTCAGACAAGACACACAGAGATGGAGCACAGGGCACAAGTGTGATAACCCTGAACAGGATACCAACAATAACTTCATCAAATCCATAGCCTGCTGGTTACCAAGTGTTTCTCTTATAGCTTCTGTAACAAGAAAGTCTTAAGAAAAATGTGGAAGGAAGAGAAAGAGGTTTTCAGTTGTTTGTGGACAGCACAAACCAGCAAGTGGTCTTTCAGTTTTGTTTTTTGAGGAGTCCCTTGAGAAAGATAGAGGTGGGCACTGGATGGGCTGCACAGAGCCAAAAGCAAAGTATCTTGCCCATGAATGAAACACAGCAGAGAGCATAGCCTGGAGGCCAGGCTTACAAGGGGCTAGAAATGGGAGCCAAGTGTACATTTGTTCCAACAAGGCAAAAGAACACAAGACCAGCTTCTAATACATCTCTAGATTTGTGTATAAAATAATATAATTATAGAATACTAGGTTGGAAAGGGACCCAAAGGATCATCTGGTCCAGCCTTTCTTGGTAAAAGCATGGTCTAGACAAAGATGGCCCAGCACCTTCTCCAGCTGAACCTTAAAAGTGTCCAACATTACAGAATACACCACTTCCCTGGGGAGATTAGTCCAATGGCTGATCATTCTCATTGTGAAAAATTTTCCTCTGGTGTCCAATTAGAATCTTGCCAGCAGTACCCAACACTTCTCATCTTTTACGTATGACTCCTTGTAAAAAGGGAGTCTCCATCTTCTCTGTAGCCATTTGTTAAATACTGGAACATGAGGATAAGGTCTCCTGTAAGCCTTCCTTTCTTAAGGCTGAACAAACCCAGTTCTCTCAGCTGTTCATCACATGGCAGGCTTCCTAGGCTTCCGATCATCTTTTGTGGTCCTTCTCCAGATCATCTCCAGGCTGTCCACATATTATTTATACAGCAGGCACCAAAAATGAACACAGTATTCCACGTGACACCTGAAAAGCCCTGATTAGAGTGGGATAATGATTTCTTCATCTCTGCTGGTGATGCCCTCCATGCCACCCAGCATCCTGTCACCTTGCTGTACCACAGCAGCACACAGTCCCTCACACTGAGCTTTGTCCACCAGGACCTCCAGTGTCTTCCCCCAAAGCTGCTCCCTAAAAGGACAGATCCCAGCCCATGCTGCACTCCTGGATCATGCTTTTCCAGAGGGAAAAGCATACTTACACTTCTCCTTGTTGAGCTTCATAAGGTTCTTGTTAGCCTACTCTTCCAGCCTATCAAGGTCTTCCTGCAGGATGCTTCTCCCTTCCCCGGTGCCCACTTCCCCACTCAGTTTGGTCTCATCAGAAAACTTTGTCTTTATCCTATCTTCCAGATCACTTACGAAGACATTAAATAGCATTGGGTCCCATACTGATCCCTGGGGGACACCAATTGTGATTTGTGGTAAAAGTTGCTCTCTGGATTGATTAACTATTATAATTCTCAAGTTACTTGAGTGTCATTCACTTTTTCTTGCACTCGATTCATTCAAATATTAATTCTGTATTTAGTCTGTATTGTTCAGCATTCTAAGCCATTTAATGATATAAATTAAGATTAAAGCAATTAAGTTTTTGTTAACCATAGCAGTACAAAGCTCAGTTTTGTGTTGTATGATTTTATGTCAGCAGAATCTGATAAAGCAACAACTATCTCCTGTTGATAATTTGCCTTGAGACATATCTGGTGGGAGGACAGTAAATGTTAATGATAGACATTTCTTTTTCTAATAAATCAGATTTTGCTATTGTCCCTCTGTCTTTGAAGAGAAGCTTTGAACAGAA